TGATGTCTAGTATATAGATTTAGTCATGGCTAAAAGCGAATCTTTCGATAATATTTATATTTTGCTCATACAAACAAAATGTAAAATCGTGTAATACTAAGCATCGAAGGCAATGAGAACAGTGAAAAAACAACAGGATGTCTAATTAGCAGAAAAGCAACTTTGCACGTGCAGCCTCCTTTTTTTCGTACATTTTCTGCGCCGTTCTTTTGCACGACTATAAGGGGAAACTTCCAGAAACTTCCTCGTTACACGTTTTATGGAAAAAAATGTCGTACCTGTTCTTAATGTTTGCTTTTTTTTCACTGCCGCTCATTTTCACTTCGGTCCCAGCTAGCACTTCTCGACCCTTCTCATTTCCTCACCGCCGCTACAAAATTTTCATGTTGCTCTTCAAACAACAAATGTGTCCCTTGCTTTTTATCCCTTTCTTTAGCTCTCTGTTGCTATTTTTGTCGTTGAGCTTGGCTGTCCTGTCGCGCACTTTCTCTTTTTTTCTGTCTTTCTCTATATATGTTTTAAATTTGTGCACATGACAATTTTTCTAGTCTTAATACTTTGACAACACGCATACAGAAACAATTTTCTCTTTTCGTTTTCGTCTTTATTGATTCTTTAGTTGTCCCTGCTTCACAAGACGCGGGTGGCTATACGATTTCCCGCCAAAATAACCTCGAGTTGCACTTGGGTCACCATACCTGTTGATTGAGTTATCTTACATCGGTATGCCTCTGGTGCGGACGGAAGGCCGGGCGGTCGATAGGTCGAGCGTCAGGTCACATGATTACTAAAATTTCTCGGACGTGTAGATTACTAGTTTACGGCATTTTCTCAGGTATGGGACCACGCCCTCGCCCGCGTTGAGCTCCGTTTAAAGTTAATATCCCAGAGTTTTAAATGTAGTGCCTTACCTCAACAGTTTATTGATTGGCTTTCCAAGATAGGTCACCAAGTATTTCTCTATTGTTTCACTGACGTTAGTTCCATTTTTTTCTTTCCACTGATCATGAACCTCCGTTGTTAGGCCGCTATAAAAGTCATTTTCCAATATGGGTTTGACAAACCACTCTTTCAAAACACCTGCAAGACATTTTTAAAAATATTAAACATTATCATTATTAGATATATTTAAAAATATCGTAATTAAAGAAAAGTTGAAGCTAGTCATCTGACTCTCAGTACAGGGAAAACACGAGAGCCTTTGGCATTTTCCTTGTGGATAATTGCGAATGTCATCGGTTTCTTAAGAAAACACATGTCCCACATGAAGTTTTCCCCTTGCGGATTAGACTGAAATAAGATTTCTCTTTCTCCAGGGTATTTGTTAGTGTTGATTCACCTTGCTCCCCTTAGTGATATCGAAAAAGGTACACGCCCAAATATGTGTTCATAAATAAATGTTATTCACAGGCTGGGAGGTCCGTATTGGGAGAAACTGTGCCCGGGGTCTTGAGTACCGGTACTCAGATCGCCTTTAGACCTGCCTTTTGACCGTGAGACCTTTAGACCTGCCTTTAGTTACCGAGCTAAAAATCAAGTTGTAATGTTTTGTTTTGGTTTGCAATCGATCGCACGCTTCATCAACACGGACGCTTCCTAGTTCAACAACGCTCACCTCGATCGTAGCCGCTGTTGACAGCATTTGCAAGAAGCGACAAAAAAGCCCTCTCATTCATGGTGAGTTGACAGAAGCAAATAAAGCTCAGTGTTTCTTCTCAGGAAGGAGAGTTTTTTAAACTTTCGACGTTTTCTTTTCAATCATTGATGCTAAAGCTTACAAAGAAAATTAAAACTATGACAAATCCAGGATCTGGATATTAGTCTGCGAAGAATTGTTTTTTTCCTGAAACCGATTCGAAGAAGAAACATGAGTGAGCATGGATTGCTTGTGTGGTTACACACATCTCCAACACGTCCATTTCCGTTCGCACTATAAATATTAAAGCACATGACCACCCTTATCCTTACAATACCCTGGTTTTTTGTTAGATTAACACCTTATGAGTACCTTTCTTGAATCAGCAAGCCACAGCTGTAAGGCTTCCCAGCGTTTTGGACAATATGTCTTTGCCCCTTCAATATCTCTACATTTTTTATGAGCTTCCTCGTCAGACTCGTTTTTGGGGAATGGTTGAGTGTTATAGTACATTTCTGATGAGTTAAGTTTCTGTTTGAACTTTATCACAGCAGTTTCATTGTCTGATTCTCCAGTCACTTCTTTAGCAGCAGCAACGATCTTAAGAAAAGAAACAATAAGAGAGAGTAAATAAAGAGTACATAATAAATAAAGAGTAAATAATAAGGGCCCAAGTATGGATCCTTGCGGGACACCAAACTCAAGATATCTGGGCGGAAATAAAGTATCGCCAATGATTACTCTCTGGGAGCGACATTCAAAGAAACTTATCCTTTATTACAAAATCAAAACGAATTATAGTCCTTCTGCCTACCTAGAACTAACAAGAAAGAACCCTTCTAGGAAAACATTAGTGAAACTGAGAATAAGCAGTCACAAACTTAGGATTGAGACAGGTAGATACGGCAATATACCACGTGATTTGTAGCAGAAATTGAAGATGAAACTCACCTTTTATTAGATTGTCCAAGTTTTTCTTCGATAAGAGAGATGTTCTTCTCTAAACTAGAACTTAAGACACCGTTTCTACGACTACAATCACGTGAGACCTTATTATCACACCTGATGAATTCTACTGACTATTTTATTAACCTCCAATTAATTTCATTTGTATCATCTTGCTTTGAATTGAGAGACAAACTTATCCCCGGAATAATAATCCTACTGATGGTTAAAAATAAGCAATGATTAATATGTTTCACATTATTTTAAATATTTCATTAGAAAGGAATCAATGATTAATTTCAAGTAGCTTTTGAAATACTGTAATACTTTGTTATAGTCATGCAAATAAAGGTTATTGTTGTTGTTGTTGAAACGTCGGCTTCCATAGAAACCACTACTGAATTAATTAAAATTCATGAAAAATGAAATCATGTTGTACTAGTTTATCAAGACATAGTATCATTTCAGTCAGTGATGCCAATCTGTTTACCTCGTAAATCGTGTTATAACACGCCATTTAACCCTAACTATGCGTTGCTATGGCAACGGTAAGCAAAGGAAAACTAAAACTACAACGACTGTATAAAATTAATGTGTCTTTAGTTGGTTTGATTATTATATGTAATACAATTAATATCTTTGTGCATAGCTTATTACCTATAATTGATTTCATATTTTCGTTACGGAATAAACTTAAGGTGATTCCCTGTTTTTGCACTGTGCAGAGAAACGTTAATGGAATTTTCTGGCTGAGATGAGTCTAAAGTGTTGGAAAGGAACCCTTGTTGTAAAACTTCCTCACCCAGGCCTTCGTTAGTGGATGCTGTGCTAAACCACTTTCATGACATTCAAGCTTCATCTTTATCACATTTTGTCCTAATTGCTTTATCTCAATGTAAATTTAATAACATCGAATTTTGCAATGCTTTCTTATACTTTCCACCTACATGCCGCTTTAAAACTCGCCCTAATCCTCTTTTAAAAAATTGGAAGGAATGCACGTGGTGCGCGCTGCGCTATCTGCAGCTCTACCGCAAAAAACAAATAGGATGACGCTTATTTTTTATGTCATGATATGAATAACAATGCTTCCTTTCAATGGCAATATCTATGACCAGCGGAGAAGGGAGCTGTATAACACATTGTTAGGGCATCGAAGACAGGGAGAAACGTCGAGTTAGATGGATCAAACAAAGACCTTTGCAAAGCGTGTGGGTAGTATATTTTTTATCCCATAGGACACCCAAAATTCGTTCAAGTATAAATAAGCCTGTTCCAGAATCCAAGATAGTCGGGAAAAGAGGGGAGGAAAAAAGCGCAAAATTTCGACTCATGGATGACTAGCAACATTTTCTACTGCATAGGCTACATGTAGATCATTTTCATGTCAGCTTCTCCTCCGTGCATACAGAAGCATTCTTGACCGTGTCCGATTGACGCTGTGGATTTCTACAGGCATTTTTCTTTTCATTATGCGATCCAGTTTCCTCCTGTTGAACGTATCGCGATAAGATTTTTGCACATAACAAACGACTTGCTAATGTGGAAGCACAATTTTATTTTCCTCGTCAAAACATTTCCCCTGCATTCAACTGCTAAATTTAATTCTCCGGCCTCATGTAATGAAGTATTGTTCAAAAATGAGGTATCCAGCACAAGATTCGTGCAGTTTCCAGTTAACAGGAAACTGAGGTTTTTACAACTGTTTTTCCTTCTGGCAAATACCACAATAGGGATTTTAACCAGTCAATTTCCTGCGTCTTCAAATTAACCAATTTCTTACTTTCTATACCTCTACCACGATTTTCTCTTTTATCTGACTAGAATAGTTTCTTTTCTATAGCTAAACCGAGACTCTTGCATATTTAGAATGAGACAGCGCAAACTCTCACCATCTGAAACAACCGTCAATCAAGGGAAAAAAAGAAAAAAAGCATGTGCAAATTCCAAATTATGACGTGCATCTATACGTATGGAGAGAGGAAAAGAACAATTCGCATCCAAATTTAAACATCTGTATTGTTGTACCGGTATTTTGTAGTAAAACGTGCATTGGATCTAAAAAAAAGAGCAAGAAAAACAACTTTGCAGGGGATCTCGGGTCTGTTAGCAAATTTACCTTAGCAGTATATCAGGAAATGACCAGCCTGGGAATGTAAATATTCCTACAAAGATTGGTGCTTGTATCAAAAATCGCATTATTTTCTAACTAAGCCGCAGGAAGTTTTTTGGCGCAGAAAGAGTACAAGAGAAGACATGACAACATTGCCAGGCTGGTCCATTGGAAGCTCCTCTGTAATTATGGCTTGAACAGAAGAAAGAAGTGTTATGAACACCAGCTGGATGGAGTTTACAGGAAAATGAAAGATGTAAGATATTGTGGGACATGACCATCCAGTGTGACCATATTACTGAGGCCAGAAGACCTGACATTGTTGTTTTAGAGAAAGAGAGTAACAAAGCAATTATTGTGGATATTGCTTCGCCATGGTATCACAGAGTTTATGATAAGGAGAGTGAAAAGGTTAAGAAATACCAAGATCTGAAGTGGGAGATTAGAAAATTATGGGGTATTAGACATGTGGAAGTAGACGTGGTGCAGGTAGTGGTTGGTGCACTCGGTGCAGTAAGCAAAAGACTGGATACATGGCTTGACAAGCGGGAGATTACCATTAATACGAGTTTGCTGCAGAAAACAGCTTTGTTGAGAGCTGCAAGGATCTTAAGGAAGGTATTGGAAAGGAGAAGGGGGAGAACTAACTTAAGGGACCTTTGGCCATTGGCTTTGGCTCGCTCCCTACAGCTAAATTATTATTATTATTATTATTATTATTATTATTATTATTATTATTATTATTATTATTATTATCATTAATATATTTCAAATTCTCAAATATATTTAAAACTCTGGACCTCCTGCAAGAGTTATTAATCGCATCTGAGCCGCAAGAAATGTATTTGGGAAATCGTTATTGACACAGTGATCATTCAAAGGAATAACAAGCTGGGTGATATGGAAGCACGAAATGCTAAAGATGGTATGCAATGACGTCCAAATTGAGCCGGTACTTGACTCAAGGGAAAAAAAAACTAACTGGTTTCCCGAGGGACCTGACATGAAGTGGTTTGTTATATTTCTAGACTTTCACTTCAACAGCAACAAAGGAAAAACCGGAGCGAACCAAAACAGTCGACTCGGGTACTTATAACAACACATATTTAATCCTTGAAACCACGGAATGAATGATTTACAAAGTACTTTCCTTATATTACAGTGATTTTTTCCCTCCACTAGCTGCTGTTTTTCTTCTGGGATGACTTAAAAAATCGTTGCTTTTTAGCTTGAGGATTCGTGTTTATGTTCAAGTTGTTGTGTTCATTCTCGAAAAAGAAAACTGGTCGTTTTTTCCCGCCTTCTGTCACAACACTTTTCACCATGTTTTGATCACGTGCTGTAATGTAGCCCGAGCGGGGTACATTGATTAATGCATCACGATCGGGATACATTTGATTTTAATCAAGGCCACGTGACCAAGAATCAACCAATGGCAGTCCCTGTTTAGTTGAGTGAAAGTCTAGGAATGTAACAATGGGGTTCCTTACCCGAGATACAGAGTCCCATAAAGGCGTCACCACCAAACAAACTACGACAGCATGAAAGCTGAATCTACTAATTGAATTATTACCCATTCAAAGTACTACTAACTTTAAAGGATATAGAGGGGTGTTAAGTATAGTACAATTATATTCTTCAAATAGTATACATCTATCCCCCGAGGTGGAGGTGAATAGTGGTGATCTATGTCACGACGCGAAGCGTCGTGGTATATATCTAGCGCCGTTCACCGACCCCGAGGGGGGATAGTTGTTTTATAGTATTTACCAAATTAGTTGGATAAAAATGGAATAAAGTTACTTTTCTGTAAATTTAAAACTTCACTAAGTAGGAACCTTGTTAACTATTTGCAAACATTTCGGGGATTTTGTCAAGCGCATTTTACGATTTTGCAAATTCAGCATGAAAATAGTTTCCTCGGCCTAGCAGTGAACACTGACAAGCCAAAGTTCGTCGTTTCTTGGTATGTGTTTGTACGACTGCTTCAATTATCGCTCACATTTCGTTTTTCAAAATGTCTCGAAACGAGACGCCATCTTGGCTATGGTCGCAAAATAGTGAATAGCCAAGGATATTCTGAGTTTCAGGAGCCAATCAAAACGCAGGAAAATTGCTACCCCCTGATGGGTAAATACTAATATACAGCTATCCCCCGAAGGGGAAGTGAATAGTGGTGGCTATACCAATGCGCGAAGCGTCGAGGTATATATCTAGCGCTGTTCACCGACCCTGAGGGGGATAATAAAACAATTATTGAATTTCGGCTGTCGTGTCCTGAAGAATTATGGAGATCTCGGAGGGTGTTATCCGCCTCGGCCTATGGCCTCGACGGATAACGCCCTCCTCGATCTCCATAATTCTTCATAAGATACTCAGCCTCATTCATTAATTGTTAAATATCCATCGAGTATTTTTGTCAAGTTGTCCTTGCTTTGATTAATGAACAGCAGTTTTGCTATTTCCTCGCAAAAGGTTCGAAATAATCTACCATTTTAAATGAGCTGAGCCGTGGCGCCTTCTGTATCCCTTTTTCTTTCGACAGACTGTCAATTAATTAGTACAATTGACGTCGTTTATGCTGATATGGGCATGCAAACGTCTTCAGATTTGGTAATTAAATGGTAGCTGGCCGGGTAATGAAGAATTAGCCGGGGAATTTAAGCCACCCAGAAACGGAGATAATTTCGGGTTGAACAATAGTATAAATTATGTACTCGACTTATTTTACTCCGTCGAACCGTCTGAAAATTCGTAATGAAAAGGCAACACATAGACAAACCAAGGTTAGACACTTCCAAAGGTGTCGTACTGTTGGTTGTGAAGTACGAGAGAATATTCAAATAGGCCTGCGATCCGTTCAGCAGTTCACCGGTAGGCAGTGTTGGGTTTGTTGGCCAGGACTTGTTCTCTTTGCCATCGAGCCAAACATACTTCAGTGGGAGAGTGGCTAAACCGCTGGACACATTGCTGGGAACGCAGTGACGGATGTGCTCTGTTTCTAGATATCTATACAATATTAAAAAAATCGAAACATAATTATGAAAAACGAGCTTCCGTAATGAAGAAAGCATTTCTCAATTCTCTTGTGAGGGAAATTATTGCGATAAGAAGATATAAGAAATTAACCCTTTAAACCCTAGTATCAAAATTCAAATTCTCATTTGTTGTCCCTATACGTTTTCAATAGAAGTAGTAAGGAGAATTTGTTGAAGTATCAATTACATTCATCTTGTGTGGTCATGTCCTCAATTCTCAGTGTACTCTGTTCCAAGATATCTAGTAAAACAATTTGAATGTGCAGTTTTCTTAACTTCTCAAAGTAGTTAAAATATTTTGCCAAGTTAACAAAGCCTTTTCTTTCAATACTAGGCACGATAATCTTGTTATCAGGCTTGATGCTGTATTCTTTTTAAACTCCGCTGGAAAGGGGTAACACAGGCACACGGGGACAAGCACAAAGTGCTTATGCAAAAGTTACTACATAATACCCACACGCGCTAAGACTTTAGATCTTCACGGATGAAGGCGGTTTACATAAAAAGCGTTTCACGCGTCTTCTACAAGAGATATATGGGGAAGAAACGGAAAGAAAAAGAAAAAAGCCGTCTTCAATGTGAGCAATGAAACTTTACTAGAGCTTAAGCTAATCATTTATTTGGTAGAAATTGAAGATTGCTTACGCAATTTCCTTGTTCTGGGGGAGAAGGGGAACAAAAAGTATTATGGGTCTCGTGCACATGTTGAATTCATGCCGCAGGATAAGAACCCTGCACCTTATTTATTTCAATTCTCACTCTAATTTTACTTCTTATTCCCCCCTTCCCCTACTTCTCACAGGGAGGAGTGGGTCTTAAAGAAAAGTATTGGAATCTTCTTAACGTGGAGGGGCGGTGGGAGAGGGTTGGGGTATGGTTATTTTCTGGAACTACACAGTATTTTTTTCGTTCCTATAGTTTTAATTTACAGAAAGGTCGCTTTTTGATGGATTCGAATGCTAAAATCATGTAACGGATTAATGTTGATGTCTAGTATATAGATTTAGTCATGGCTAAAAGCGAATCTTTCGATAATATTTATATTTTGCTCATACAAACAAAATGTAAAATCGTGTAATACTAAGCATCGAAGGCAATGAGAACAGTGAAAAAACAACAGGATGTCTAATTAGCAGAAAAGCAACTTTGCACGTGCAGCCTCCTTTTTTTCGTACATTTTCTGCGCCGTTCTTTTGCACGACTATAAGGGGAAACTTCCAGAAACTTCCTCGTTACACGTTTTATGGAAAAAAATGTCGTACCTGTTCTTAATGTTTGCTTTTTTTTCACTGCCGCTCATTTTCACTTCGGTCCCAGCTAGCACTTCTCGACCCTTCTCATTTCCTCACCGCCGCTACAAAATTTTCATGTTGCTCTTCAAACAACAAATGTGTCCCTTGCTTTTTATCCCTTTCTTTAGCTCTCTGTTGCTATTTTTGTCGTTGAGCTTGGCTGTCCTGTCGCGCACTTTCTCTTTTTTTCTGTCTTTCTCTATATATGTTTTAAATTTGTGCACATGACAATTTTTCTAGTCTTAATACTTTGACAACACGCATACAGAAACAATTTTCTCTTTTCGTTTTCGTCTTTATTGATTCTTTAGTTGTCCCTGCTTCACAAGACGCGGGTGGCTATACGATTTCCCGCCAAAATAACCTCGAGTTGCACTTGGGTCACCATACCTGTTGATTGAGTTATCTTACATCGGTATGCCTCTGGTGCGGACGGAAGGCCGGGCGGTCGATAGGTCGAGCGTCAGGTCACATGATTACTAAAATTTCTCGGACGTGTAGATTACTAGTTTACGGCATTTTCTCAGGTATGGGACCACGCCCTCGCCCGCGTTGAGCTCCGTTTAAAGTTAATATCCCAGAGTTTTAAATGTAGTGCCTTACCTCAACAGTTTATTGATTGGCTTTCCAAGATAGGTCACCAAGTATTTCTCTATTGTTTCACTGACGTTAGTTCCATTTTTTTCTTTCCACTGATCATGAACCTCCGTTGTTAGGCCGCTATAAAAGTCATTTTCCAATATGGGTTTGACAAACCACTCTTTCAAAACACCTGCAAGACATTTTTAAAAATATTAAACATTATCATTATTAGATATATTTAAAAATATCGTAATTAAAGAAAAGTTGAAGCTAGTCATCTGACTCTCACTACAGGGAAAATACAAGAGCCTTTGGCATTTTCCTTGTGGATAATTGCGAATGTCATCGGTTTCTTAAGAAAACACATGTCCCACATGAAGTTTTCCCCTTGCGGATTAGACTGAAATAAGATTTCTCTTTCTGCAGGGTATTTGTTAGTGTTGATTCCCCTTGCTCCCCTTAGTGATATCGAAAAAGGTACACGCCCAAATATGTGTTCATAAATAAATGTTATTCACCGGCTGGGAGGTCTGTATTGGGAGAAACTGTGCCCGGGGTCTTGAGTACCGCCCGAGGCCGTAGGCCAAGGGCGGTACTCATATCGCCTTTAGACCTGCCTTTTGACCGTGAGACCTTTAGACCTGCCTTTAGTTACCGAGCTAAAAATCGAGTTGTAATGTTTTGTTTTGGTTTGCAATCGATCGCACGCTTCATCAACACGGACGCTACCTAGTTCAACAACGCTCACCTCGATCGTAGCCGCTGTTGACAGCATTTGCAAGAAGCGACAAATAAAGCCTTCTCATTCATGGTGAGTTGACAGAAGCAAATAAAGCTCAGTGTTTCTTCTCAGGAAGGAGAGTTTTTTAAACTTTCGACGTTTTCTTTTCAATCATTGATGCTAAAGCTTACAAAGAAAATTAAAACTATGATTTCCATGTTTAAAAATATTGTAAAGATCTAACTAGTTTTGCGCGTCTACTGTTTGCAGCTACATGTTTACAAATGAATTCACCCGTCAATC